AGACATGAGGGACTGTTATTTGATTAATGGAGAGTAAGTTCCACAATAAAAATACAGATATGGAGTACAGTACGTTTCCTTCATTAAACCAAACTTATTCCTAAAACAGCTGCATTACTGCTACTGTACCTGATGAGGGCGCTCTCCTGCAGCAGCTCTCTGCTCAGATTCAGAGGGATGTCCTCGCTGTCCACCACACCTAAAAACAAAACAAAAACATTCTGCAAAGTGTTGCGTGAAGAAAAAAAATACAGAGCATGCTAGAAGCATTCGAGGAGGAACAAACCTCGAAGGAAGCGCAGCCACTTGGGCAAAATGTCAGTAGCTTTGGTCTGAATCAGGACCTTCCTGCTGTACAGAGCCACGCTGGACCCCATCTCCCTGCTCACATCGAACATGGATGGCTTCTGTTGGCAAATACATTCTTTTGTCACACACGTTACAGGAAACCAGCTTCCTCGACTCAACACTGCTGAAAGGTCGCTAAAGAACAATTTATAAAGCTGTAAAGTTTACGTCATCTATCAGTACTGGACCTGAACACCAGCCGGTTTCCTAAATGAAGATTCTCACAGAGCTTTGCAACCAAACAGCAACTGAAGTAAAGTTTGCATTGCGAAATACTCCTCACCGCTTCGGGGACATAAAAGATGCTCCTGATGTTAAGCGGCGCGTCGGCGCGGTAGTGCAGAGTGTAGCGTGGCTTGTCGTAAGCCTGAGCGACGTAGCGGTAGAACTCCTCGTGCTGCCAGTCACTGATCTCCTTCGGCTCCATCATCCACAAAGCCTGAAGGAAGACAGACAGCGATTATTAAAAATTATTATTTTCATTGTCGCAATTTTAATATGTTTGTCTGAAACAGGGCTCTCTTGTAAATGAGACACCGAGTCTAAATGAAACTACTTGTATAAATAAAGGTAAAAAAACCCAGTTAAATCATTACATTTCTTTAATACTTCTTCTTTTGTCTCCCACCTCCCCAGGTGCCTAAAATTCTTTAAGGAAGCTGCACAACATACACAGCTACGATGTATATCAAATTTGGGCTGACAGCTCTTTGGGAATCAGCTTGTTGGTGCAAAAATACTATTTTATGCCTGCTGTCTTTGGATTTTTATGCAAGCAACAAAATGCCACAAAATACAATATAAAACGGGTTCTTTGCCAAGTCGTCTGTTATAAACAGACACTAAGATTATTACAGTTAAATACAACTTAACTAAATAGATACTAATGACTGAGAGTGGTACCCCTCAGCCTCCTAGTAGACACACCCATGGTATTCATGTCAAAATCCTACGTCGTCTTGTTCTTAAGTTATCCCATACACCAGATTTTCGGAAAGCTTACAGTGACTTTCAGGTTGAGGTCACCAAGATTTGAACTCGTCCAGGTTTTTTAGTAGATGCACCCCATGGTATCAATTTGAAGCTCCTACATCACCTCATTCTCAAGTTATTGCATTCACAAACTTAGGTGTCCACACCACATGCCTGTCCACCCAGTGATGACAATACCCCATGAGCCTTTCAGGGCTGAGCGGCAAAAACTACACTTTTGAAAACATTTAATCTAACTGAATTGTTTTTTTGGAACTTGTACAACAAACTAGGGCTGGGCGATATATCGAGTTTTTTAAAAATATCGATATATTTTCATACGAGATATAAGATGTGACAATATCGTTTATATCGATATAGCTTATGTTACGTTATAATTATACTTGTGGGGCCGCAGGTTTGCCTCTCTTTCGTCCACTTTTGTCTCTACGCTGCGTTACTCGGCCTCGCCTCTCCTTCACTGAACACAACTCCGCCTCCCCCATAGCTTCACCTGCAGGCAATGACAAGATGAAAGCGGAAAATCTCCGTTAGCGAGTTACCGCGGATCGTCCCGTGCGTGGGGCTGGACGGCGTCAACGTGTTAGCGAGCTAACCACGCTAACGAGCTAACCGCGCTAACGACATGCAGCCCGGAGGAGCTGCACGGCCTAAAATCCTTTCATTTTCTCAAAACTCGACAGTGCGCCTTATGTATGAATTCTGGTTGTGCTTACTGACCGCGAACCGATTTTATGTGGTACACAGCGCTCAGCAATCTGTCAAAAAATGTTTTAATAGGACTTTGCTAAGCTACGGAGCTGCACCGCTTGATGGATTGTCGGAGGATTACGGCTACCGAGGAGGAGCCTCGCGGAGTGATACGTACTGTGCTTCAACGTAATATTACCGTACTGTGTGTGTATAAGGACCACAAATGGCACCTGTTCACAGACGTGGTGCAGCTGTGAAATCTGTCTCTTTGTTATTATGCTCAGCGTCTATTAGTTTACATTTTGACTGCACAATTGTGAGCTTTTTGTTATGCACAAAAACAACATTGTTTTCTTTTATTTATGGACCATGATTATTTAATAAATGCTGATAATTTATTTTTAAGTAATTTCTTCATGTACATCTACGCTGTATGTAAATAAAAGTGCCCGTGTGACATCTGGGACACAGTGTGACTAAGAACTCTCTTTTTGTTCTTAACTTATGGCTTTAAAAAAAATATCGAGATATATATCTTATATCGCCATCCAGCTAAAAAATATCGAGATATGAATTTTGGGTCATATCGCCCAGCCCTACAACAAACTAAGGTCAAATAAAATAAAGAAATAACGATAGTTTTACTATTTGTTAGTGCCTTTTAATAAATAATTCCTAGGTCAGGGTTAAAAAGCAAACAAACAAAAACATTCTGGTTAAAATTGTCAGGTACGAGGACAAACACAAGGAGCAAACGTTTGGCTCCTTGGAGGCAAAATATCAAGAAATCGGGGCCGGCTAAAGACTTTTACACAGTACTGTACAATTGTGCCATTTATTTTGGGAGTTTGGACCATTCAGTGACAACCTTTGCATCCAAAACAGAAGAACAGCAGCTCACCTGCAGAGTGTTGAGCCTCCGTCCATTCAGAAAGATGGGGAAGCTTACAAAGTTGCTGTACTTTGTTACAACCTCTGAAACAGAAACAATAAGTACTGATGCATGAATACGTCTCCTCACTGCAGCCGTCCTACATTTACCAAAGCAGCGACAGCACTTTTACCTTTAACTCTGTCCTCAGAGGAAAACTCCTTGCAGTCGTCTTTCAGGTGGAGCACGATTTTTGTTCCTTGTTGAACGCCGGTGGCTTCAGCAATCTCAAAAACCCCAGAGCTGAGGGAGACCATGTGAAATATTGAGGATTACACTTCGGATTCACAGCAGCCCTTCTCAAACCAAGGATACCTCTCTACAGCCACTCTTTGCTCTCACCCATCTGAGGACCACTTGTATCCAGGTGCATCGGGCTCAGACGAGCGAGTGTACACGTCCACGCGGTCGGACACCATGAAGGCGGAGTAGAATCCAACACCAAACTGACCAATGATGGTGCTGCTGGCCTCCGCCTGGTTCTGAAGAGTGTCCAAAAACGCCTACAGTGGGGAGAAAGTTACAATAATGACAGAAACAGTGAGCATCAGAAAACACGATGCTGCATTTTAAAAGCCAAACAGGAGCGCTATATCAGATAAGTAATGTCACAATGAAGCACTCACCTTAGAACCAGAGCGGGCGATAGTGCCCAGGTTAGACACCAGCTCATCCTTGTTCATGCCGATTCCTGTGTCCTGTTGGAATATAGAAATCAGTCACTCAAGAGTTAAGCTATCCTAGTGTGTTGTATCCCATCTACCAGCAGGGGGCAGTAAACCATCTCAGGGCTTCAAGTGCACTAGAAGCACTAGGAACAACCTGCTATAGTTATTTATAGCTGGCTGTATGGATCTCAGGACAAAAAGCAGAGATATGCTACTGATTTAAGTAAGTAACAATGCAAGAAAAGAGGGGGACCTGGGGTGGAGATGGGTTGCAAAGCAGCTTGAACAAATTTAGAATTATCCTGGTTAAGACTGGATACATGGAAAGGTAACAGCTGAGCCATCGGCTGGTGTTTTGCTGGCACCGAGCTCAGCTGATCTGCTAGGATTACGACTCGCTTTCTGATCTAATGTTACTCTTCCTGTTCTAAAACTTGTCCAAAACTTCTAAAGTCAGTAAACAGGTGTACCTGAATGGTGAAGGTGCCCTTTGCTGCATCACTCTGCAGGTGGATCTCCATTGGAGCCGTTTCACCACCTGCTGATATCAATTTGTGGCGCAGTTTTTCCAGTGCGTCGCTGCCGTTAGAGATGAGCTCCCTGATAAAGACCTGAAAGAAAGACAAGTCAGTCAGAGGAGAGCAGTGAAGGTAAACTGTAATGATAGTAGCTTTTGTCCAACTTTACATCACCTCTTTCTCTGAGTACAGGGACCTGGCGACAATATCCAGCAGCTTTTTGGTTTCAGCCTGAAACTCATGTTTGTGGAAACTACCTGAAAGATCAAAGGCAGAGCAACATTCAGAATTTGAGAACAAGCTTTCATGGGAAATATGTCTGCAGCTGTCCCAGTACCTTGCACAGCCTCTGTGTCACTGATGATATTGTGCAGAGGCTCCTCCTCTGGCTCTTTCTCTGCTTCCTGGGTGCTGTAATAATACTGTGGGCTAACGCCAAGGAAGGCCTGCTGCGAACTCCACACCCTGGGGCGACTGCTCCACCTCTGCAGCTGTCCAACCGACAAACCTGATGGCATGACAAGTAAAGATGGTGAGGCCATTTAACAGGGAAGCAGTAGCATTTTAGATCCCTCATCATCTCTCTAATCAGGATCTACTTAACCCTCTGAGGCCACAAGTTTACCCAAACAATGCCCGAATGCTGCCTACAGCAAAACAGACCTTCGAGAAAGTGATTCATGGCTTCGTGTCATCCAGGCTTAGTTATCACACTAGCTTATATTTGGGCATTAGTCAGGCTCTGCGTTCACATCTCTTGCTTGTTCAAAATGCTGTAGCTCGACTCCTGTATCCAGGTGTACTGAGAAGCAGATTAAACCATAGAGAGGATCGGGCTTTTGCAGTTGGGCTGTAGGTGACGTCTCATGCTACCAGGACTCACAAAGACACCAGCAAAAAGCAAAACTAGAGAAAAGTAAGTTCCGAGCAAGGGTCTGTAGTCAACATCTGCACAACCATTGCTTATTTTGGGGAGGGGGGCTCCATCTTGCTGCCACTTCGATTTGAAACAAAGCAGGTGAAATGGATTTACTCGTTTGAGCAGTGTGTATGAGCCTTCTTTCAAAAAATAAAAATAAATAAGGGTCTCACCTTTGTGTTTTTAAGTGTTTGTGTAACAGTAACGTTAAGTCCTGGTGTCCTCTTAATTGAGAACATGGCCTTTTCAATTATATCTTATTTGTTTGGGTGGCCTCTTTTTGCTCCAAAGAGGCAGGAAATTACCAAAAAGGTTAAACTGAAAGACACTTTTTTCCTCGGTTCTCAGGGGTTTATGGTATGATACTTCTGTAAGCTTTCCTCAAAGATGGGGGATATTAAACGATAAATGAAATCTATTGTGTTTAGTGTGATGTAACCATGCAATAAAATTTATAAGCGAATCGCTTTAAATTCATTTTTAACCGTTAATCGGTTTCTACTGTAAGACACGTGAGCCGCAGGTTAGTTTATAAAACATGGCCACAAAGGTTAGCCGAAGCAGAGTTTACATTTAACTGAAATCTTCGTGCTGTCAGCCAGGCGGCTAGGCTAACTTGGCTGGCTAATAAGCACAGCTTACCTCCAGTCAAGGACCGCGAGACAGGTCGGCTGCTCAGCCCGCGTGTAGATGACACCAGCCGCGAGCTGGCCCTCTGAGAGGAACCGAGAGCGAACCGAGCCAGCGCGAGACAGCGGGACATGCTGACACTCAGGTGGGACCCAAAGACGAAACAAATGACAGGTCAACTGACCGACAGGGACACACGCTGAACTACAGCGGAAAAAGGACCTGCGACTGCGCGCGATAATGACGCCAAAAGGCCGACCGCAATCTGCCTGATGAGAATAGGATGCTCTTTAAACTGTAAGTGCATAATTTTATGTCGTAATACACGGCTAATCACCTGTGTATATTATGTGTATATATTTATATTCATCATTAGTACGGTTATTTATTAGAGTTTTCTGATTACTTAAAATTTAGATTTTTTTTTCTTTGTTCCCAATTTACACTTCAAGGTCAAACAGAATGTAAAAGTAGTGCGTTATGTTCATGCAAGCAGCATTTTTTTTTTTTTGCAACAATTTGTTACATTTCAAATTGTCAATGGCAAAAATCTGATGGTTCATATTTTTTAAATGTGAAGATTTTTCTTGATCCTGTTCTCACATCAAAATAAACTCTTGGAAACTATGAAAGCTTGTCGTTACCACTGGGGAAAAAAAATAAAACAAAAATTTCAAATTACCCATCTCCAAATTTCAAGTTTTATATTTCAATTTGTCCTCTTACCTACATAAAAATTCTGTTTTCTCAAAATCTCAGGTTATGATCTTAAAATCTTACCTCGAATTTTCAGGTTATTTCAAAATTTGAGTTACATTTCACAATATTCCAGTTCACATATCTCAATAACTTCAGGTTATCAGTTTAAAACTTTAAGTTACACATCTCATAATTTCATCATCTCTCAAAATTTCAGGTTACACATTTCAAAATCTCAATGTCCAAATAAGTTTGAAATGTCAAAGTGATCATTTGAATTTACCTGAAACCTTGACTTGAGGGTGGCAACCCCCCCCCCCCCAAAACAACAACCCCAAAACAAACAAATTCTTCAGTGGCCCAAACAAGCTTCCACACGCAACTGATGAAAATCTAATGGATCGTTTTATTTATTTATTTTTTAATATAGAGAAATGATTGAGCAAATAAAAATCAGCCCAGCTGCTGAACACATACGAATTTCCCCCATGCAGAAAGATTCGAGGCAGAGTCTGTGGCACACAGGTTTATTTAACAATATGGTATATAAGTACGAAATGAGCCATTTGAACCAATTTGTACAGTGATTTCATTTCTGCATATTTACAGTACTGTCCACCTGCATGATTTACATTAGAGAATAGTTCATCATCAAGTCAAGTTTAATGCGAGAGAAAATGATGCACAAAACTCTCTGAACACAAATCAGCAGTCAAACAAGATAATTTCCCACCACAGGCGAAAGAGGTTTAGGACTTAATGAGAATTTCTTTAGACTGAAGGAGAGAAAGCAATCTTTGAACATCTGCAAGACGAACACTGGGCCCAGGCCAGTAAAAAGAAGATTCCTGCACCTGTGAACATGAAGAGTCAACGCAGGTTTACTTTCAACCTGCAAATTGTGTTTGGGTGTGTGCAATAGTTCCTAGATCTATACAAATACGTTAATCTCCTTTAGACTCTGCAAACAGGAAAGAAATTAAGGCTTTCCTAAAGGCAGTCCTTTTTGAAAAATGGCATATTAGAATAAATTAGCCAGGAACAGAGAAACTGAGCAAGAGGTGAAGCCTGGCAAAAACAATTCCCACACAAATAATTTTACAGTCTTCTTTACACAAATACAATATTAATTTGCAAACGTACAAAATAAAAAATAATAAAATGAAACTTTTTTTTTTAGAGAAGGTTTTTAAAAAAAGTCAATACCAGAGAATAACAAATGAAAAACAAATTAAAACACAAAGACCAGGGCAAAATCTTGCAAGGCTGGTCTGAACCAAAAATATATTCATTGTGTCTTTGTTGTTTCTTCAACAGCAATTATTAAATCACTCTGTGTACTTGAAAAAGTAGTCCTTGGTTCACAGTCCGTAGGCCTCGTAAGACTCATTTATTTTGTGATTTCTTTTAGCTTTTTACATCAGCAAATAGAAAAATGTTGCAGCTGAAAACAGAACAATGCCTTTCTTCTGTCTCAAAATGCTACAATCCTTCAACAAATTTCTCTAGTGTGTCTCCCGTCGTGTCACCCACCATACCCATGTCACTACTCAACCCCCCTCGGTTTGGTGTGTTAAGCTGCGGGAGCATGGCGCTCTGCTCTGGTGTTCCCATGTGACCCTGCTCCATGGACCCTGACATGGGACCTCCTAAGCTGGGATGGGGAGAGTTGGAGTGAAGTGCGCCATGCTGAGGTGACGGCTGGGGTTGTATCCGAGGGGAGGGACTGGAATGAGGTGCCTGCTGCGAAGGTGGGCGGGGCGATTGCACTGGGGCTGGAGAGCGTACCTGGCTTCCCAGGGTATTTGCCATTGTCTGGCCAGGTAGGTGAGCTCCTGCCTGGGCTTGGCCTTGGAGCATGTGAGGCTGTGGACTCATCGAGTTGGCCTGTGCCGAAGAGCCCATCTGCTGCTTCATCATCTGATGCTGTTGCTGCTGAAGCATGCGTTGCTGGAAGTTCTGCTGTCCATCCATTCCCATCCCAGGTTGGCCCATTTGAGATGTGGGAGGGAGCGGTCCCATAGGCCCCCCACCTCCTTGCATAGCCATGTGCTGCTGCTGCTGCTGCATACGGATATAGCTTCCTGGTCCCGGCTGCTGTTGGGGGAACTGCCCATGGGCTGGAGGCAAACCTCCCTGCTGCTGCAGCTGCTGCTGCTGTTGTTGCTGCTGCAGCTGTGACTGA